CTCTCGCTCTCTCTCTCTCTCTCTCTCTCTGTGTGTGTGTGTGTGTGTGTGGTGTGTGTGTCCCGAACTATAAACTCTGAGTTTCTATCACTCCTTGGTTGGAGCAGACTGCTTGCAGTCCATTTATCACACTGACCTGTTGACAGCAGCTGGCTTTTGTTTACAAAATGGGTCCTCTCTGGTCCCAGGCAGTTTGTTCCCCACCTTGCCAACTCCATCCCTCACACCTTCTAGTCACTCCTAAGCTATTTTCACCTTAGATTTACTTTCTCCCTTTCAGTTTCAGATAAGCTTTGCTCCCATGAACAAATCATTGGATAATTACCTGTGTCCGACAGAGGGTGAAAACACCACCGGGTACTAACAACATATGAACTGAAGCAACATCCCTTTGCTTGACATTCCTCTGCAGTGATGCCTGGGTAACCACACTCCAGCCTTGCACTCCTATCCATTACACAGTGTCGAGAAGCTATTCAGAAAAATGAGTCACATTACATTAAATCATCCTTCTTTTTATTTTTCATTTTTTAAAATCAGGGATAAGTGTAGAGTGCATGACCTTTAAAAACAAGTTATGGATAAATGCTTAGTAAGAAAACTTAATCCTAAAAAATTCAAGTTCAAGCATTTGGGTAACAGAAGTCCCCTTCTGGATGGATTGTAAATTCTGGTTTCTGTCCAGTCAAGAAAGAAAACCAGAGAGATGATTGCTTTGGCTTTCATGAAGAAGGTTTTGAACATGTGCAATTTCTTTGGGGGTGTCAGCATACTTTTATCAGAAATTAAAGTAGCAAACTTGTGCACTGGCTTTGTATCTTTTTTCTTTCATTTTTATTACGTTAGCATAAATCTTGATACATTATTGCATTTCAATACAATTATATTTATATAATATACTTAAATTCTTAACATTCTATTATTTAGACAACTTAGAGTATTGGATATAAAGAAGAGGTGGGGAAAGTGGATATTAAAGAAGGGGGGGGGAAGTGGATGTACATTTTATTGCTTTTTTGTTTCTTTAGCTCTTAAAAGACTCAGAAAATTACCTACCATCATTTACTGGAGGATAGAAACATGTTGGTGCACCAGATGCCCTTAGATCAAAGCAGCAACCAATTCGTTTGCACCTTTTGCGTGAGATCCCTTGAAAGCCACAGTCCTTTCTTTCTTGTGGTGGAATCATTTTCCTTGCATAGTTTAGTGAAACTGTTATTGTAAATAATATGCAGGTCACTGTATCTTCCAGATAATAAACTTAACAATGGTTTAAAAAATAAAGTTGCATTCTGCCTGAGCTAATGGTTACTACTAATGGCTTAAATTTGACTAATATCTGATCCAAGATTTTAGGATTCTTCATTAGTAAGTCTGGCAGTGCGGCTCCACTATCATATCAGTTTAACAGCAGGAAAGCTGATCACACAGATTTTATTTAATTATTCATTTATTTTCTAGTGCTTATGTGCTGATCCAGTCCAATCCAAAAGGGCTTTGAGTGCCTTACATTTCTTCTTGGAGTAAGAATGAGGTTAAAATAATTCTAAACAAACAATATACACAAATTACAATTCCGAACAAAGGAACAATTTTAAAACAAACATACAAAAAACCATCGTGGTGAGCTCATTACTCATAGCAATTCCATCACACACACACACACACACACTTTAATGGTTTTGCTAAAACTTAACAGGGTGGGAACTAATCTGATTTTGCGAGGCATGCTTTTCAAAAGAAGCGGGGTTGTGATTAAGAAGGCTTAATGGCATGGCCCCTGAAGATGCCCCTGGGAGAAGAGTCCCATAGATATTCAGTCCTAAGTCATGTAGAGCTTAGGACTGGCAACCAGCACCTTGAATTGCACCTGGAAGCAGTGTAGCTTTTGGAATAGAAAACCTCAATATTTCCATCACTACTTGAGCTAAAATCTTCCATGCTAACACTTTCTTATATGATGTTGGTCTAGGATGGAGATTTTCCATTAACTCAACTATATGCATTGGGAATATCTTTGACTGGGGCTCTTTAAAGCTTCAAAATACTTCTTTAATCAGTAAATAGATGGAACTAATATGTTTGCTATCCTATTGCACAATTCCCAGCTATCCTAGGAAGCAAGGTAGTGGTCAGGAGTGCTGGGAGCTGTAGATTAGCAACATCTAAAAGGCCACTTATTTCTGTTCTAAACACATATGAGGCTACTGTTGGTATAGGATGAAATAATCCTTTTAATCAACTAAAAAAAGGAAAGACCAGCTGCAATTTTATGAAGCTTAACTTACTAGGGGAAATATAATGTTTTCCTGGAATGTTAAGCAATTTTTCTTTTGCTTCTAATGTAGGGTGAATTTCTCCAAGAGCATTGTCTTTTCCTAACACACTTTGCAAAGAGGAAGCACTTCCACCAAGCATGTTTGAGAAACAGGATTAAAAAAGCAAGTGATGCAACTTCTCTTTCTGCTGTCCATCTGTCATTACCTCTTTCACCCGATGGTTTGAAGCACCACGGGACATCAGGCACTGATGCATCAAAGCAGCATCCATTTGCCGTGCACTGCTCTGCAGTAATGCCCACAAAAGAAGATTCACATCCCTCTCTTTCATGGACTTCCATTAGACATTGGCAGGCATCTGTTTGGAAGAAAGAAATTGGGCAGTTGCCTGCAATCTTTTCTTATCTGAGCATACATTTTTCTCTAACTCAGTAGTCATATTTCTGACTAGATATAGGTAGAATTGCTCCTTTTTTGATATCACTTATTTCATTTTTTTTTTGAATGGAAGATGCAAGATTCGCTATACTGAACATAATAACTAATTATTCAGAGATACTAATTACTTTACTAATTTTTATCTATATGCTCTTAAAACTCTCATTGTGTTTATCTGTTTGTCTGTGTACCCTCAAGTTAGCTCAACAATTAGACTGCAACAATTTTTGAATCAAGGTACCTAAAATCCGCTAAGAATGTGTAAAAAAATCCAGGACCCATTACTTCTGTGGAATTGAAATTTCCATGATGTTTAGACCAGTTTTATTCACAAAGTTGTGGCCATTGCAGAGTCCCAGCAGTCATGTGATTGTGATTTCCAATGCTCCCTGCCAGCTTCCCATAAGCAGAATTAATGGGGAAGCTGGCAGGAAGTCAGAAGTCACTCCTGCTTCCACTGCTTTTTTTGCCCACCTGTGATCATTCTGTTTATCTGTTTAGGTAAGTAAGTGTAGACTTATTATTTATGATATATACTCTTCATAGATGATCATGGGACCATCCAGCACTTGGGTAAAAAAAATATGGTCAGCCTAAAATTTAATGTTCATTCTGGTCACATCACACAGCACTACCTTTCTGTCAAAGGATGACCCAACAGGTCACAGGGTTGTCTAGTTAACGATACATTTGGAACAAACTTCTCTGAAAATTAGCCAAATATAATAGGTGGATAGTAGAATTTTAGTTATGAGTTGTGTTCTAACCTTCCCATGATTATTAATACCACATACTTCTCTGTATGGTTTTACACTTTCTTAACATATGTAGAAGGCTGATCTAAATATTCTCTTTCATATATTAACTACTGGTACTTTAAGTGAGAATACAAATAATAAATCCAACCTATTAAATACACACACACAAACACACACACACACACACACAACTGTTTAATGTACTAAGAAGAAATCTTATAGCCAACATATAAATTTCAGTATATGTTGGCAGTATCCCTACATAGATATATAGTATCTGAAGACCTGAATCCCTCTGTTAATTCCCTTAAATTTTTAACAGAATGTATTGAAAGACCCTAAATCAATTTATTCTATTTTTTATTTTTATGTATAGAAAGTTTTATGTAAAAACTTTCTCAACGGTCATAAAGCAGAGATAATCAAAAGCAGTTTATAATAAAAGCAATGTGCAACAGAAACAATTAAACATATATGATTCTTTAAAAACATTTAAAAATCTATAAATTAAAATCTAGATTCAGGATTCTCCAAAACATTTTTCTTGTTGTAGGAACTACATAGGGATTAGTTGTTTGTGGCCTGGAATTCTGATGGTCTATTTTCTGGGATAGGACATCCTAGATCTTCTCAGCATGCCAAACTGCAATATTCCCTCATTAAGAAAATGTGATGACACCAAAAGGATGCACCCAATGAAGTAATCACACAAAAGCTGTGACTTACATAGTTGCATTAGGTGTCCAGACATGAGTACATAATCACAACACTTGGGCAATTACATCATTACACATGTTGCCATTTGCCACCTCTCCTCCCCAACACCTTTGCTTGTAGTTGCCCAAGGTATCACTGGGACATGGTCTTGAAGCCTACTTGCATGGCTACTTCAGCCCAGAACACAAAAGCTTTTTGGTTCAGTTACTTTTGGAAAGGGTTACAAGATGTCCAGCAAAAGGAAGACATGTCCTCCTTTTGGTCCTCATGTCCAGCAGGCATAGCTTTAAAATAAAATATTGTCTGAATTTTTGAGTATTTATAAGCTTTGTCTTCTTGAGCAGCTTTTCTTCACAGTGCAGTGTTTCCTAATAAGTGCTAATTGCAAGTTAACGAGTATAGCTCTGTGGCCTTAACTAGTTGATTAGTACTCTCCAGACTGTGCTTTTGCCTGAAAATGACAAGACCTTAATCAATTACATGCTGAAGGCTTTTGCCTCCTAATCTGCTCTAGCACATTTCTGCCACTGAAAAACCAGTCTTTTCATATACATGTAAGCCTAAGTACTTTTTTTTTTAATTTGCAGTTTTTCACTGTAATTTTTACTGTGGACGCTAAGAATGTTAAACAGTTGTGTGTGTTCTCCTTTTCCTCCCAGGTGACCTCCTTTCCAATTGTCCGTGTCCTCCTTGCCTGTTCAGATATCTGGTAATGCACCCAGTATTCCAATACTTGTGGATGGTTCTCTGATACCTGCACAGATATAACAAGAGAGCCAAACATAGGCCCAAAAGAGGGAATATTGTCCTAGAGAAAAATCATATACATGTCTATTTAAAATATGTATTAATGAGCTCAATAGAGTTTAGGATTCCAACATTCTTAGTTGCAGCAAATATATATTTGGGCTATGAACTATATCACATACACATACATTCACACATATTCATATGAACACGTTACAGTATAGCAAAGGAAAATGAGTTTCTTATCCATTTATGCTTGCTTGTTAACCCATTAATAGCTAATCCATGAGATTATCATTAACTTGCCTTGCTTAATTTATTAATAAACATTATATACTTACATGGTGGACGACTACCTTTTTGAGGGCAGACAGATCCTAAACACAAGGCAGTAGCCAGTACCAAGCAGATCTTATACTCCATTCCTTTATCCAGCCTGTGCTCTTTAATGTTCCTTAAATATACAAATATACATGATCATAACTTACAATAATAAGTTACTATAATATAAATATTCAATCAGCCTTTCTCCCTCAAAAATGTTGCAGCACAGCAAAGTTCCTCTTCTTAACATTAATTCTAAATATTCCCCTACAGTTGTGATTGTGTAACAATACTCAACTGTCAAAACCATGAAAGAGTTCAGTACTTAAATAGTGTAAGCATTTTTATCACATTGCAAAATAACTTTCATTAGATTCATAGCAATAACAGGAAAACTTTTTGTGGCCAAGAGTTTCACTTCTCCCACCAGTATTTCTTGCCCTTTGCCTGCCACAGAGAATGTTGTGGTGACAATTTTTGTCCCAGGAAACTTCTGGGTTTGTTGAACCTGGCTTACAACACCCAATTAACATGCCAGATGGAAATCTCGTTTAATAGCTTTATTCTGCAGAAGAAAGGGCACTTGGAAAAGTTTTCTAGATCAAGCACACAAACTTACAAATGCTTTTAGAACAAAGAAGCACATAATCATTGGCAAACAGTAATTATTCAGACCTTTGGGTGGGCAAAACACTCCCTAAAGGTGGGCATTTTTCTGCTGCTGGAGAGAAATATGATTCCATTTTTAATCTATCTATTCCCATTGTGTGCGCAGGTTCCTCCCTCCCTCCTTACTGCACCTGGCTGACAAGACAAGCAGCCTTTAACAGGAAGGGAGATGAACAACACTGGTGCCTCATCTACCTCAACCCTTTTCCTCACAACAAGTGAAGATCAATCTGAGACCAAACATGGTGTTTTCACTGCCTTCTTCAAATTAACCCTAAAATCACCACTCCATCATTTCCCCCCTTTGAAACCTTTAATGGGCGTTAAACGAATCATAAGCTTCACATCTATTGAAGTAACTGTGAAGTGGTTTGCTGAGATAAACAGTAGATGCAACAACAGATACAGAACAAAATCAACATGAAGAAAACCACAAACATTAACACTGTTGTTAACCAACCCATGTCCTGCCCCTATGTTCACCACTTTCCCAAGCTACAGAACAGCACATATATAAATGATAAAGTATAATAACAGAAACTCATGCAGAGCTTCTCTGGACCATTTTACCCAGACACAGGCAACAGTAGTATATTGTTGCTCAGCTAGTACAATCGCTGTTTCTGGTGTATCTCCTAGCAAAGTAGCTTATATTAATGGCCTAGCTCTCATCAACCTCATTATCTCTGCTCTTTAAACAAATATTTGAGGTCATTCTCTGCCTGTGAAGATCAGTGATTTGGGTAGTCAGCAAAACCTGGGATGGACCCTTCCAGGTTGGATCAAGAGTCTTGCGATGGAACTTTTAAGCAGCACAAAATCTCCCAACTGGAATGGATGGACCTCGGTCACTCAGAGGAACAGTGGCCCCTACCTCCTCCTTCCAGAGCTCTCTCTGCTGCTTCTGTAAGGATAAAAACTGTTTGGTAGTTAGTTTATCCCCCCTAACCATGGATGCACTGAGATGGCAGGGAGGCCCCCTTTGTGAGTCCTTGCCCTAGAAGAAGCTCCTGGAAGTTTCCACATAGGCTCCAGGAGCAAGCCAGTCTACAATAGCTTGGGTACCACAATGTCCTTTCACATGTAGTTGTGGAGTCAGAAGACAAAGAAGAGCATGTGGGGCAATCAGTCACCCATCAGGAACCATCCAGAAGGAACCGTTCCAAGAAGCATCAGAAAGACATTGCAAGTAGCAGTCCCAGCATCTGAAAGACACTGCTCATAAGCAATAGTAGAGGAAACTTGAAACATAAATGCAAAGACTGAAAGTCACAAGGTTGTTGAACAGCCTGTTTAGCAGCCTGATCAACAAAGTGATTGCCTTTAATAATAAAAGGAGAAATCCATCCAAAGGTGAAACAATCAGGCCTGTGTGAGCAACCTGGCAGCCTGAGGTGAAGAATCCCCTCAGCTTCCATAAGGCACCTGTAGCATGGCAAACACCAAAAGCAGACTTAAGAGTCTGAACAGTATAGTCCTTGGTGAATTAAGGCAGTAGGTTCAGCTGCTTGGGTCCCCAAGGAAGGTGGCAAGGGTTCCATCCAGCAGATTAAAAAAAATTGCAGCCCCTGTTAAACAGATTCCATCAACCACAAAGGAAGACTCATCTGAAGAGAGTTCAAAGTCAGGATTTTGTAGGGGCACATTAGTAAGATCTGAGTGAGGTTTCTTTACCAGGTTTATGGTCTGCAAACAGTTATGTTGGTAACTTCCTTCATCTGTAGTCTCAGGAGGCAGAGTTGCAGGATTCAAAGTTGTACACTGATTCACAGTCATGTTTGGAGTAGCAAGAAGCTCTGCTTCATAAGTGATTAAACACTGATGTGTAAAGGCTTGAGCTCAGCAACCCCGTGAGGAACAAAAAACAGTTAATGGAAAACCTATAAACAAGTCTTGTGATATTTGAACAGGAAGGACAATAGTAGCCAAAGCTCTCAGGCACTCCACTGCCCTACAAGCAGCAGGGTACAGCTGTACAGAATAGTGGGCTTTAGTAATCAGAGTAAAAAGAAAGAAAGTTTATCCAGCTTGCCAAACACTGGTATCCAAGGCTTACAGAAGCTCTGCATCAAGCAAACACCTCGTGGTGATTACAGCAGAGAACACAACTATCAGGAAGGAGGTGGTGCATTCCAGGAAGGGAAAGGAGACAGAAGACAACAGTCCGGAGGTGGAGCATGGGAGACATAAGTGGTTCAGGATAGCCACTTCCTAGAATCTCCCAGGGTATCTCCACTAGTTGCAGTGGTATAGATTTAGTCTGGCAAGATTCTGTCTATATAGTGTAAGCGAATAAAGGAACTGAACTCTACTGGACTGTTTCACCATTGTTCTTGGGCTGGGCCTGACATACCTGCAATCTTTTCCCTCAGTTTGTAATGTAACATAAGGCTCACCTCTACAAGTAGTCCTCATTTAACGACATTCGTTTAATGATGGTTCGAAGTTACATTGGCCTCAGAAAGGGTGCTTTACAGCCCATAAAGCACTTCTGGCCATCGTACAATGTCATGCCACCCCCCTCCCATGGTCACACGACTGCATTACAGGTGCTTGGCAACCAGCTCACATTTACAACTGGTTGCCAAGCACCCCGTGATCATGTGATCACCATTTGTAATCTTCTCCGCTGGCTTCCCCATTGGAAGCCAGCAGGGAAGGTTGCAAGCGGAGAGGACATGGCAGTATGTAGGAACGGAGCTCAAATCCTGAAGATCTGAGCTCCATTCTTCCAGCCCCACCAAGGATTTCCCCTCCATTTGTGGAGGGGAAAGAAAACCCCTTGGCGGTGTGAAGGAACGGAACTCAAATCTTCAGGATTTGAACTCTGTTCCTTCACACTGCTGAGAGGTTTCAGTGGTGTGAAGGAACTAGCTCAGATCCTGAAGATTTGAGCTCCATTCCTTCTCACTGCAATGAAGGAACAAAGCTCAAATCGTCAGGATTTGAGCTCTGTACCTACCCACCACTGAGAGGTTTCTCCTTCTCTCTCAGTGGTGGGTAGGAATGGAGTCAAATCCTGAGAGGTTCCAGCAGTGGGAAGGAACAAAGCTCAAATCCTGAAGATTTGAGATGCATTCCTCCAGCTCCAGAAAGGATTTCCCCTCCATCCAGGGAGGTGAGGACCCTTCGGCAGGCTTTAGGAATGTCTGAGAGCGAAAGGGCTGCCTGCTGGGAGGATTTCAGCTCTTCAGAGAGCTGAAATTGCCTGGCAGGCAGCCCTTTTGCTCTCAAAGAGTTGCCTGCTGGGAGGATTTCAGCTCCACGCTGAGCTGAAATCCTTCAGCAGACAGCTTTTTTGCTCTGTCTGCTTAATGACCTGGGAGATCACTTAATGACCACAACCAATAGTGCCCGGATTGCAGTTGTTGAGTGAAGCAGTCACATGGGTGTCTCACTTAATGACTACTTTGCTTAACAACCGAGATTCCAGCCCTAATTGTGGTCATTAGGTGAGGACTACCTGTATCAGAATGTTTAATAGACAAAATTGCAGCTACATTAACCAATTCTTTTCTTTCCATATACTCATCTGGTTAGCAAGAAACTGCTGTATTGGAGGAGGTGGTGGTGAAGAAGTGAAGTTCCCGTAGGTTCTTTTTTTTTAATGTGGCCTGAAAAGAACTATAGCCACTGGAAACAAAATTGTAATTCAACAAAAATAAATTTTTCAGTCTCAAAAAATGCAAGGATAAGGCAATCTGAGTCTTACATGGTTTGCATTCTGCACATGTAGAGACACTAAGTGAAATCTTGGTGCAAACTCAAAGGATTGAAGTTGATGTATGTGAAAGTATTGTAAAAATCCTGAAAAGGGAGGCGGAGGGTTTTCTGTGGCAGTATTGTACGGTTTTCCCCCTCTCTCCTCTTCCTCCTCCTTTTGACCTTCAATCAATGTAACAAGCAGAGGCAGGCGTGGAAAGGCGGGGGGGGGGGGGGAGGCGGGCAGGCTTTCAGCCTGGGTGAAGCTAAGGCGGATAGGAAAAACTCACACTTCAAACAACAAACAGACAATTAACAAAAATCTCTCAACTTTCTTCCAATATGCACAAAATGTACACAAGTCTCACACAGACCGGAATGAATGGTGGATGCGGGAATGGCCAGAACCCACATCCACTACAGAGGCATTCCGTTTTTTTAAAAGGACACTCACATAATTTCCAAACTTTCTATGTGCAACTCAAAACAGTTATCAACCTTACATGCACACACGAATCCACACAGACAAATGCCCACAAACAGAAAACACTGGTGCCTTAACACTGATAATATAACAAAAAACACCTCCCTGCTTGTTCTTGCATGCAGTCTACCACAGCCCTGTAGAGACACAGAAATCCTTCCTCCCTACCTCTCAGCTGGGAGAAAGAGATGGTTTGTGTGGAACGCAAGCTAAGCATTCAACAGGGAGACGGTAAACAAATACAAAATATTTTGTTCTGTTTGTGGGAAGGAAATCAAGCCCTCTTCCCCACCATACCATCTTCCCTTTCTGTTTCCCGCCGTACAGTTTTCCTCCCTCAAACAAGGCAAAAGGTTAAAATTTACAATTAGAATGGGCTTACCCAAAAGATTAAAATGTGGCAGGAAGAGTTAACATTCCTTGAATTTAGCCAAAACCCTAATCAAATAACAAAAGACCTTTTCCCCAAAGAGATTTGCATTCCAATCAAGCAGCATTAGACAAGCATATACCTCAGCTCATCACCAATCAAGCAGTGCTAGACAGGCAAATACCCCAGCTCAACAGAATGCCTGATTGCAGGAAACTGCAGCTCAGTGGGGTGCCTGACTTCACAGCACTCCCTCTCAGAACTCTGGCTAAGTGCAATGTCTACAAATTCCTAGAGGGTGGGCACTCTTTTGCGCGCTTTCGAGGAACAACAGCTAGACCTTCTCTATACGAAGGGCTTCCGAGGAATTCATAGGCACGGTTGCCCCGACAGCTGACTATTCTGTGTTGTGCTCTCAGAAATAAAACTTCATCTCTGTTTCAAGCAACTGCCTGCGCAGTTTTTATTCCCGGCTCAGAAATGAACTTGGTAAGATTTCTTTCCAATATATTACTTACATATTCTTAAATAAAACAAAGGGTGATTATTCTAATTGTAATGGCATGGTAGTAATTTGTCTGGGCACCAAATCTTCTATTAGCTTTGATGATTTCAATTACAGCTTTGCAATAATCACTCTGTTGTTTCTAGTTGGCTTATTACTCTACCTTGAGCAATATTTATATTTTAAAAAATTACAAATGTCAGTGGCAAATTAATTTGCAAAAAGAAAACTGATATAGTTTTAAGATCTTTTTCATTTTTAATACTAAGCTGCGCATGTGTTAAAGCTCTTTCAATGTTTGGTGTAAAATACATCATGATTTCATCAGAGCTCTGAGGTTCCAGGGGACAAAGGGTTAATTTTCACTATTCCCCATTGAGTGTCAGAGCCTGCTTTGTTTTAACTGCCAAAAGGCTGCTTCACAATCTCGCACACATTCAAAGCTGTCTGAGTCTTTTGCCTGGGTAGCCTCATGTGTGGGTTTGGCAATCACCACAAATCCTAGAATCAAGAGGCAGCAAAATCCAAATAGGTAAACAGCTATTTTGAGCTTTTTCCTGAGACACCTGGTATTCAACCTGTC